CAGATTGTATCAGAAATGAAATTCAGGTTCTGTTACTCTCTCAGGCTGTAATCAGCATCCTTTCAAGGCCTTATTAAAAATCCAGATGACATTTCACTCCTCTCCCCAGCTAAACCCAGACTCAATTCCTGGGGATCTGTAAATCCCATAGAAGTTCTCCCTATTCAACCAGTTAGAACAGTGTCCAGAGTGGAAGACAGGCTGCATCATTAGGTTTACAATAGCCAGAAGAGTTGTTTTGCAGTGATATATATCCATCTCCAGTGACTAATATGCCCAGAAATAATCAGGGGTTTTTTTCAGAGGAGAAAAAAAAATCCTATGAGACTATCTTCTAATACACCACCTCTTTGCAAGGGAATAAGAAGATATTTATTATATGTAAAATAAATCAGTTGTGATTATTATCTACATATTTACTGAGGTTTAACAACTGGATAATAGATGCACATTTTATTCCAGTGTTGTTAAACCTCAGTAAATGTGATCTTAATAATCAATCACTATTTAACACACATTCGATAACCATCTAAAGAGATTTCACGTCAAATGTGACCCAAATTCCAAGCAGTAAAACACTGTAATTTTGTTTCATTTCTCTCCTCCTGGTTATAAGAGTGACCTATTATACTTTGTCAGGTATGCTCAGAACATCTGGCCCTGACATTTTCCTTGTGGCTACAGATCAGGTGTGACGTATTTGTGCTTCGATGTTGTTGTGGTTTAATCCCAGGCATTAGCCAAGCCCCATGCAGCCGCTCATTCACTCCCCCACCAACAGGATCGAGGAGAGAATCAGAAAGATAAAAGCTAGAAAACTAGCTGTGGGTTGAGATAAATACAGTTTAATAGGGAAAGCAAAAGCCACGCATGCAAGCAAAGCAAAATAAGAAATTAATTCACTGCTTCCCATGGGCAGGCAGGTGTTCACCCATCTCCAGGAGCGCAGGGCCCCATCACATGTAATGGTTGGGAAGACAAATGCCATCACTCCAAACGTCCCCACTTCTTCCTTCTTATCCCCCCTTTAAATACCAAGCATGACACCATACGGTATGGAATATTCCTCTGGCCAGTTTGGGTCATCTGTTCTAGCTGTGTCGCCTCTCAGCCTCCCACGTACCCCCAGGTTCCTTGCCAGCTTGGCAGTACGAGAAGAAAAAAAGGCCGTGGCTCTGTGTAAGCCCTGCTCAGCAATAACAAAAACATGTCTGTTATCAACCCTGTGTTCAGCACAAATCCAAAACACAACCCCATACCAGCCACTGTGAAGAAAACTAACCCTACCTCAGCCCAAACCAGCACAAAAGTTCATGGGCTTAGTTACTGATGGTCAGAAGAAGAAAAAAGGATCTCCTTCCCATAGAGCACTGTTAGATCCAGAGGCCACAGTAGCATCTATCCACTGAAATGCAACCCTCAGCTGGCTTCCACTGATTGCCTTTCCCTAATCCCTCTAGGAGCTCAGTCCCCAAATTCGTTCTTTTGGTTTCTTTTGCTTTTCTTTCTTCCTACCTTTCCTTTTCTTTTCTGTTCTCCTGTATTTCTTTTCTTAGTTTGATTGTTTGTGTTTTTTGTTTTGGTTTGGTTTTTTTTGTTTACTGTTTGTCCTTTCAACCAGTCCATTCTTCTCCTGTGTTAACTTTCAGGTTCCCCTTATTATTATAGTGCCACATCCCGGGGCTCCGCACCTCCCACTGCTGCCGCTGCCTATGACCGCCACTAGTTACCATGGAAACCACATGAAACTGCAGGGCGACAGCTTAGGCCTCCACATTGTACCTGTCTGATCACCTCCCTCATCCCTGGGAAGGGTGAAGAGACCTTCTCCGTTCCTCCCCACAGTCCAGTTCCTTCCTCTTCGCCATGAAGGCGCCGGACCAAGCGCTCACCACATGAGACTGAGACCCCCTCCCTCCCCCTGCCCTCCGCCCCGACCGCTTCCCCCACGCCGGGAACAGCCTGCGGCCAAGTGGCTTCTCCTGTGGGAGCCCTCCAATGCCCCTGGGTAAAGCTCAGCCACATGAAGTCCACTCGGCTTCCAGAACTCCAGGGGGACTGGGAAGCAATGCAGCTGGCAACCATTGCCTTACAGGACCCCTTTCTGGGAGCGGTAAGGGCCAGGGAAACAGGGGAGAATGCCGCTCATGAAACACTGTTCCCCAAAGATATGCTCTTCTGTGGTGGACTCTTGATGTGTGTAACCTGTGATGGTCACCCTGTTCCCAGGACAGAGGGAACAGTCTGGCTAGAGCAGAGATGGCAGTACAGAGCCCTGGCCCATCTGGCAACGAAGAAAGGACCAAGTAATGATCTGCACCCCATGAGGGGTTCTCTGTGCACCTCATCCCCACTCTCCAGCACGGATTCCCCCAGAGTTGGCTGCACCTCACGGGTGGTGACTTTGCAGGCCAGAATTGGGAGGAACCTCACACATACACCCACAATTTCTGTGACACACAATCAGCTCAGACAGGAGGATGGAGCAACATTTACAAACAAACCGACGAAATGAAGAAATATATAAATAGATATATAAATATAACTGTGTTTTTATGCTTTGTCATGAAGGTCTGTAAAAAGGAACAAAAAAATCCCCAATTTTCTAAAAAACCCAGGTGAACAAAACCAACAAAAAAACCAAAATAATAATTAAAAACCCTACAAAAATAAAACTCCAAGTCCCATCCCTCCCCACCACCTGAATGGCAGACAAGTTCCTCTGACGTTTGATGCTCCTCTTTCACTCTAGGGTTTTGTTTCCTTTCTGTTTTGCACTACAGTGGGATGGTGGTATTGGAGAGGATTGGATGCCAGCTCCACCCGGGAGCCTCCTCCTCCTCCCCCTTTCCCAAAATCCTGTCTCTGGGGAGCAGTGTGGACAAGTCACATCTGACAAAGTTACCAAACACATCAGTCGACAAAAAAAGCACTCTGAGTCAACAAACGTTTTCCATGTCACTGGTTGGCAAACAAAGAAAACAAGCCCAGCTGCGCTCTAACTGCGCTGTGTGGTGGAAAGTGTGGGGCTTCATCTGGGCCCATCTGATTGCCCTCTGGACAGCTGAGACTGAGATGGACAAATTCAGGATTGGCTGGGATTATTGCTTGGTTCCCTAGCCCTTAGCCTTCAGTCCTTTTACCTTAACCTCTACTCATGACGACTTCACTCACATCCCAACTTTTGCAATTTTAGATATGCCCAACACCCATTCTCTGCTGCTGGTGACAACAGCCTCATTATCTGTGCCCAACACCTAATTTCCTAATCACTATAGCCCTGCTATATGGGCCCCCCTTTGATTCCCAGTCCATCTGCTCATACACCTAGTAATTTATAGGCCCCACTCAAATACATATGCCTGCATCCTACCAGCCAGTTCCAACATACAGCCCCATCTTTTCATGTTCAATCCTATATTGTGCATCCTAATATTTACCCCTTATCCCAAATGCTCACCTGATGATTCTCTAGGGATTCTCTGCTCTTTTTGGTTCCCAAGTGACTGACAAACACTGTTCTGCAAAAGGCTAACTGTCAATAGAAATGCTTATTACTTCTGTATTGTCAGCAAACTCATAAACTGTTCCTTGCACTGACACTTCCTAAAAAATTACTCAAAGAAAACATGAAGGCAGCTCTAGCCTGCCCCCAGGGCATCAAGTCTGCCAAAGTAGATCCTTGTTGTTTTAGAGAGGTTTCAGATAAAACTCATGGGCTATTGTCCATGGACAAAGACAGGATTGAGAATAATACCCCCAAAGGGCATAGAAATGAACAGTGGAGCAATCTGTACAGCCAACATCATGTATAAAATCCAAAGTTCAAAGCCTCTGAGGAGATGTGGTAGTGGACTCTATTCTGTCTCCAAGTTAAACTTGTATGTATGAAATCCACCATCAGTAAACAGCTGTGTTGATCCCAAAGGCCCCTTTCACCTCACTCTTTTAGCCTTTGCATGGATTTAGCTGATTATATGTCCGTGTCTTCTTTAATGAGGGTGCCCAAATGATAAGGGAATTTGGGGGGATGTTTACATAGAAGATATAGAGCTAAAATCTGTTCCTATGCAGAATAAAATCAAAGAGGTTATTCCTGATCTGTTAAAAGTGTCATTCTGCACATCTTACCTCTGAGTAACCTGCTGCAAATAGCAGAGTTATTACACTATCACTGAGACCAGAATTTGGCCTGTTATCCCATCTTATTCTTTGAGAGAAGAAAATTCTGTGCAATTTCTAAAAATATACTTTCACCACTCCTCCTGTTTTCCTTCACAGACACCAGATAGATGCTGAACCCTGTTAGTAGTGTCTCACTTTTAGTCTCTCAGTACAACCTTTGCTCTATTTGTGCACCACCCAGATTCACTCAGCAGGTGGTCAGGGCAGAGGCAATAAATCCCAGGACCAACAAGGAGAAGGTCCTGAGGAGACTAAAGAAAAGAGACTCTCACACCTCCCACTTGGCCACCTGCAGCCCAGGGGCCAGCTTGAGAAAAGCTAGCAGCTCAGAAATGCTTATTTTTATAATGGTGTTTTGCTAAACTTGAGACATGAGCTAGGGTCTGAAAGCAGGATTTAGTTGGCTCACTCATGGCTGGCTTCATTTGACCCTTGGAGGGCCAAATCTGTTGTTGGTTTAACTCCACTGATGAAAGAGGATTTCCACCAGGCATTGGATTGGTTTGGAAAGTTCATAAGTACAGCATGTAGTTTAACTTGAAAAATTAAAAGGAAAGCAGAATTATGCAAAAAAACTGGGCAGTCTAATCCTCTTCCACCACCATCTGTAGACCCTCATGCGAATGTACTGAATTACATTTGCCAAAGAGTTTCTTGTGTTGGTTGTTTTGATTTACAGTCGGTGGATGCATTGTAAAGCAGTATTATAGCCCAAGTCTAGTAGCTGACGTGGGGATTTATGTGGTGATATTATGCAGAAGAAAACCATCAATATTCATATAGATTCCATTAGACTGGACTATGCAGGAAACGCAAAAATTCTACCAATTATTTAATATTATGTTATTTGCAAAAAACAATTGCTGCTTTGTAGGAAGATAATGTGTGTAATGTGAAGGCAATTCCTCTTGTATATAAGTTCATCTCCATCTTCATCATGGTAGTTATTAAAACAGCCTCGTCTCATCCTGTAGATAAGGAACACGCTGTGTGTACTGTGCAAGTCTCGTTGTGCTCACTGAAAACAAAACGATGTGTTCAATAAAGCACAGCACAAATTCAGAACCTGAGGGAACAGCCAAACCTTGGAAGGACCCCTTTCCCCAACAGGCCAACAGTTGCTTCTGTATAGGTGGAATTTTTTTTCTTTTATTTTTATTTTCCTTTAAAAAATTTTACAGGAAAAAAATGAAAAAGGATTGGAGGAAGAAATCATTATGCAAAATCCAGTGAAGTCTGACTCAAACCTCTCCTCAATTCTGCTGTGTCTTACCTTTCCCATATTTCTTTCTCACACCCTCTTTCCATTCAATTTCTATCCCTCTCTTTTATTATTTCTCATTCCCAATGCACTTTTCTATCCAGGGAGGGAACAGCATTATCGATATGGGAGCGGGTATCTGGGACCTCAAACTCCCCAGTTCTCTCTATCACTCTAGAAAACCTTTGTCAAATCCAATTTCCCCCTCTACCTCAGTTCCAACCCTCTGTAAAATGGGAATAACAATAGTTTCTAGTTCACAGGGGGATTACGCAGCTGAATCAATTAGCACTGCCTCAGTGCTTTGAGATTCTGGATAGAAAATTCTATCAAACTGTTAAGTATTATTGTGAATAATAATTAATGTTTCCATTACATTTCTCTATTTTCCTTTTTTTCACAACTCATCCTTTGTTTCTTTATTATTCTTCTTAGCTCTCCCTTCACCTCCTCCTTCTCCTATCATTCTTAGTTTTGCTGCTATGTTTGCTTTATCTAATGGACCAAGCAGAAACGTGAACCTGGATCTCCTTCTGTCTCAACTTGATCATGGGGGAAGAATCTCGTGAGTTCTCGAATGCCATGCTTGGCAACAGGGACCATGGCATTTAAAACTGGCAGCACTTTTGAGTCCTGTTCTCTGAAGCTCCCACATCCTTTTTGCCCAACAGGATGTGGGGCAAGACACAGGAAGGGGTTGCATGAGGTGAATGCATTAAAGCTGACGCTGGTGTGGCCTGTAAATCTGTTGGGGAGGGTTGGTGGCAATGAGCCCTGCTGTGGTAACAGAAGTTTGCATGCTTTCTGACCCATCGGTAGCGATGAATCAACCTCAGAGTACAACTGCAGAATTAATCACAACATGAATGTGAGGACGTTAAACAAACAAGAAAAGGAAAACAAAGAAACCCTGCACCTCTTTCTTCTCTTGAGTATATACTTATATATGCATATTAACATTTTCCTAAGGGAATTTTTAGTTTGCTGAACTGTTGGAAAAAACCCACCCTTTTGTCCCTAAGGAAAAGCACCCCTCTGGGCAAAGAAATAAGAATCGTAGCTGAGCTGCCCCCTTTGGCACTGACAGAGTGAGGGCTTCTGAGGGACCCACAAATACCACAGTGTGCTTCCTTGACTGGGCCCAGGACAGTGGCAAACTTGCAAAGCAGGAAGGAGGGACCAAACTGACAATTACAGAACTGATGACAAATCTAACCGTAGAGCAGCTCTGCTGATGATCTCCAGGCTAAGCTAGACATGAGACCGTGGAGGGGAGGGGGCCAGTGCCAGGTGCAGGGTCACATCCATTCTAGGCTGCTGCAGCCCCTCTTGGCTTTTCCTCATCACTTCAGTTCTGTTTGACCATTTTCTTTTCTCTTTTTGTGCACATGAGAAATAAAAGCAATTTTTTTTTTGTATGTCATTTTTGTGGCTTCTGGCTTGTTTCTCTTTCCCTCTCCTACTCTCTCTCCCCCCTTCCTCAGCACTTCACTCTCCAGTAGATTCCCCTTGAGGTCTCTGGGATGTTACATTTGTTGCACCTCACACCCTTGGGTCACCATGTAAACAACACCATGATCGCTAACAACCACCATGGTGGGTGATGGAAGGCACTGCACATGCTTGCAACGCCCCATAGTACAATCCACCCTCTGAGGCCCTGCCAGCCCCCACACGCTCCTATTCATTGCCAGCAGGACTCCCTTGTCTACTGATCTCACTCAGTTGACTCCCAATGATCCATAACACATCAGGTGTTCCCAGGTAGTTCAAAAAATCAAAACGCCACAAGATCAGAAAGATGTGGGGTAAAACCCAGAATCTCCTTTCCCTTTATGCCTGTTTCTCCTTAGCCCCAACTGGAGATGAGCAACACCTGCCCAGTGTGCGTCCAGGAGGATTTAAAATCTTCCCAAATCAGCCCTGATGCTCCATCAGAGCACTGAGGGGGCTGTATGAGAGGTCTCAGCAAAGAAAGGGTGGCTGACAGCTCTCAGGTCTTACTCCCACTTCTCTGCTACCCTGATTTTAGTTTCACGAGAGGAATTCTGTTAGCCTGATGTTTTATTATAGCCTGCTCTCTCTTAATCTCTGTCTTGGTTAAGTGGGGTGCAAAACCAAATGCAACTCATTAATAACCCATTCTCCAAGCTATTCATCAATCACCTAACAGCTGGGCATTTTATTAAGGTATGCTATAAACATACCAAATACTGAAGTATTCACTCAATTTTTCCTCAGTTAAGCATTAATTCTACAGAAAGTCATATGCAGTTTAAGGTCATAGAGGAAGAGTAAAAATGTAGCAATGAGTCAGGCTAGACTAAATCAATTTTGCTCCTACAATTTTTAGTCATTAACAAATATTTTCACAACAGCTCATGAAAACCAGTGGGCCACATTTTCTGCCAGCGCATGTGTATCTTAAGGAAAGCCTGTGCAGAAGTGATGTCATGAAATCAAATGCTTTCACTCATCAGAGACTTAAAACATTTCCTTTTGTTTCATTTTCTATTTTCCCTTGCAGTATTAATAGAATAGGCAGAAAATCCTCCAAAAGAACATTTTCCATAAGTGAAAGTCAATTTGTTGAAATCCAAACAGACTGTAAAAGCAATTCAATTTTCACAACACTGCAGCAAAACTGCCTGGCAACTATCCTGAAGTCAAAGGCCTCAGGTTTCCAGGATCTGCTGCCTATGAGACAGACAGGCCTGGGATGTGATGCAGGGATAGGCTTGTGCTCAAAATTGGAACAAAACTGGATTCCAAAATTCTGAAATCTTCTCTGCATCAGAATTTTCTTTCTCTACCAAAGTTTAGGTGATAAGATTGAAAGAGCAAATTGATAGATGAAGTCCCAGATGTTAAATTGACTGGAATCAAAGGAAATTACTAATGTACGTTCGCTGTCAGAGGTGAACGACAGGCTAAGAATCAACAGATAGATGTGTCAAAAGAAAACAAAATGGATTTTCATCCTGGTAAAATAATCTTAAAAGAATGATTTAGAAACTAGCATGATCATCTCATTTATATCACACTTTATACAGCCTAGAGATCTTCAATCTGACATCCCTGCGTAAGTCTCCATAACTGATTGTAGAACTACAGCAAAACTTTTGCAACTTTCAAGAACTTCTGTTTCTTGCAGAAAGAAATACTTGCATGAAAGAGCTATTTCCACCATTTCAACTAGTATTATGTTCCTTTAATAATCCTGCATAATCAATGGGAGTTCTCAGTGTGAAAATGTTATGTGATAAAACTAAAAAGAGCACCACAGTCTGTCTCCAAATGAGGAAAATATCGTAAGAGTTTATGCAACACTAACTAAAGAAATCCTCTTTGTGATTACTCTGACAAGAAAAATAAAGAAAAGTTTGAACATTCTGAGATGATGACAACCTTCTTTAAAAATAAATACACTCTTTAATGAGCTGCAGGCAAGGATAGATAGTACACATCTGAAAGTGTTAACTTATGTAGTGGATGAATTTACTGGACACACAGTCAGTTCTCAAAAACAGTGGGGAGTGGCAAAAATGAAAGAACAGCAAACATGGCATCAATGTTTTAAAGGATCCTGAAAACTATAATCTAGTAAATCTACACGATGTTTGTATCGAAAGGAAAATACTTTAAAATATTAAGAGAAGGATCAGCTCACTAAACAAGTAGTGGTTAAAGAAGATATGCATAGTAAACAGTCTGTACATGAATTCTTCTCTTCTTTAGAAGAAAGCTGGGAATATCCTGAGGACAGTTAACATACTTGATTCAGGAGCTGTCTGCAGTGAAGCAAAGGAAGTTTGTTAGAGACTGTATTTTAGCCCCTCATACTTGAAAATCATGAAGCAAGTACATACAAAAATCACAAGACTGACTGGAAATCATGTAATTTGTATATAACACCAGACATAATTTTGTATATATGTATATTTATATACATGTATATAAAATAAATACAAAATAACTCTTGTTTAACTTCTAATTGCAGTGTTCTCGAGGCATCTATAGCTACGCTTTTAATGGTGCCTCTTCCACTGTAAGAGTCAGAAATTCACTTCTAGTGAAAAGGAAGCATCTCACCGCATCACAGGGACCCTATGGTCTAGTGCTTTCAGAAGCAGCTCAAATGTCACAAGTCCTGGAAATGGCCCAGTAACTCCTGGCAAGGCTGACTGAGCTGGTCTGATACCAAAGCTTATCATAGACTTGGGTTTTTTCCTGTCTTCTGCTGTGGGACATTTTGGTGGAAGATGCCCACCCAAAGCATGTTTGATAATTTCAAGTTCAAAACTCTACCTGAAAATTCATTCCATAGCAGATGCTTGTAAAGGACCTTTTTCCGCTGGTCCTTATCCCTGCAGCAGGAGAACCCCTCTTGTCAGCCGTGGCTGCTTCTTGCAAGCCCTGTCCTGTCCCTGGAAGTGTTCAAGGCCAGGTTGGACAGAGCTCTGAGCAACCTGATCAAGAGGGTGGCATCCCGGCCCAGTGGCAGAGGAGTTGGAACTAGATGATCTTTAAGGTTCCTTCCAACCCAAACCATTCTATGATTATATAATAACCTTCAACCTGAGACCAATTTCAAACACATCCTGCTGAACACTTACAAAAAGAATACAAACAAAACCTACACAGAAAACTTAAATGGTATGAGGCTGAACAGTGTGAAATTTCACACAAATAGAGAACTTCTTTGTACAGAAGAAAGCAGCATCTTTCTTCCATGTCAGCATCCATGAGAATGCAGTTTTAACAACAGAGCTGCATTTGGAACCTCCTTAATACACCAGCAATGGTTAGTTACAGTACCTAGCTAATAAGGCAGCTTCCACATATGCACTTTTCAAACTCATATACGGAAATCACATCATTGCTAACAAGCAAATAAATCCAAAGCCCTTTATTTTCATGCTGCCTTCAAGTAAATTTTAACTTATGCTTTTAAAATACCTAGTTTATTTTTAAGGAAACTGTTTTTAATGTAACTGGGAAAAGTGAGCTTGTGGACTTAGATGCACTGCATTGGCAGCTATTCTTCTACTGATTGTTTTTTGTTCTTACTATTTGCTAATTGAAAAAGATTGAAAATCACTTCTCTAGATATGCTTCAAATCTCAGAACTTGATATAAAATCCAGGAATCCAAATTTCTACCAAGCAACATCTAGGTAACAGTTAGCTGTCTAACCCATGGGGAAAATCTATATATCCTATCCTCCTGTTAAAGCTGAGTAGAAATAGGATAATAGTTTGCTAACATTATCAGCTGAGACAACCTTTTATCTCAATCAGACAGAGTCCACACTCAGATAGTCCCAGACAGACTCTGCACAGAATCATTTTCCTTAAATGTCATGAGTTGCCTATTTTAAGTTGAAAAGTCCCAGAGAAAAAAAACCAGCAGAAATTGAGCCAAGGCTGCAAAGCTGGGTACCCAAAAGTTAGTAAGCGCCAGAGTACGGGAAGACTAGACAGAACTCTGCAGGCAATATGCCAGAGGGAACAGGAGAGAAATTAAATGAACTTGTCATACTTTTTGCTCTCTAACTTTGTAGAGTCTATTAGTAACACAGAATAAGATTAGCACAAGAGGTTTGCACCACCAGGAACAGAAACTCCTTGTACACTCCCTACCATCCACCTTTGTCTAGCCATCCATTTACATCACACAAGTGTAATATGCTAGTACGTTAAATTTGCTAATGAACCAGGATGTGAGCATGTTATAGCTACTTAGTATTCAGTTTGCTCTTTTATAAATTATTTGGTAGAGAATCAGGCCCTCCTCTCCCTCTCTAGCTGACTCTCATCTGATTCTAATTCAATTTCTCTGCCTATTGTTTATTTCACCGCTCCCCTGTGAAGTGTCAAATGCTGATGTTCCGTCAGCCTAGAACTGTCGTTTATATTTGTCATTCAGTCCTTGTTAAAAAATAAAACAGGACTGCGCCTGCCTTGGAGCGCTCTGCCTGGGAATTCCCTGTGGTAAAATTAGTCCATTTAGATGGAAAGTTTTGTGTCACTCCCCTGTCTAAATTGGCAGATCTGGCTCTTTTGCAAAAACCAATAAACTGTGAACCTTGATGCATCTGTCAATCAAACTCATCTTTCGTGAGCAAAGCCAGATGACAACAAAAGCTGGGCAGGCTCCTCTGATTGGTTCTTCTCATTTAGGCATATCAGGAGGCACCTGTCACTCCTCTGGCTCAGCATCATGCTCAGAGGGACTCCATTCATGGAGAGATGAAACCTTATTGGGGGCTGGGTTGGGGCTGGGATGGGAAAGGAGGAAGGGGGAGTTTACCCTTCTCACTTTCAATACAATCTGCAGCTTGGCTTCTTCCTCATAGCTCTGGTGAGAGGCAAGGAACTGGCACCACCTTTGTTCTGGAAATGCTTTTCTAACACCTTAAGTGAATGCTTTAATTACTTAAACTGTGCAGGTTTTCTGGTAGCTAAAAGGGTGTAGCAGGAGCACTAAATGCTACAACTCTGGGGCTCTGGGAATGGAGTCGCAATACCACAGAGGAGAGACAGGATACATTCCAAACCCCTTTCCAAAACTGCTGTGTGCATCCTGCCTATCTGGTCACCCACTGAGGAGAAGCAGAGAAGGTATTTCTACCTGTCTGCTAGGAAAGAAAGAGATTGCAGACCGGTTGCATGTCAAGGGATGCTTTTTATATAAAGGCATAAAAGAGGAAGAAAATGCCAGCAAAGAGCAATAGCAGGTACAGAACAGCTCACACCATGGTGCTTGAGAGGAGCTGGGGCACTTAGGAGCTGGTGATACATACGGGAATGATCCCCAAAAAGATCACATTTCAGGGGACATCTCAACTTGTCCAGTTTTCACCGGAAAATTCTGAACTCTGCTGTCTGCCCCAAAAATGTATGTCAAATTTTTATTAATTGTTCCTTTTGCATTCAAAAACCCAATTTAACCTAATTTTTTGAAGTGTACTTATTTGCATATCTGCATTAGATGGCCACTGAACCATTCAAGAAACTTGTTCATCCACAGAGCTGATACTTGATGATGGATTTATGTTGCCTCTTAGGTACCCCATCACAAACCTCATCTCAGGTACCTGTATTTTCTCTTTCTACTTTGTTTTGCTCAGAACAGCTCTGCCAACATACGTCACACTGTTTGCAGGTATCACTGTAATTGGCTTTGGCAGTGCAGTAGCCAACCACTTCACTCAAAATCAGAATACAATACGTGACTGTTTCTCACAGTTGCCTTACAAGTCTTATCAAAGTTTTGTTCCTTTGCTCCAGGATATATAAGATGGATATATATGCTTACAGGACATATAAGATGGAAATCTCAGCCTTCATAAAAGAGTTGTGAGTTCATTTGGTTCTACCATCCCGTTTCAATTACAGGCTCAAAAATACAAGACAAAAATAAAAACAAACAGCAAAAAAGCTCTTTATGACATTTAAGTTCATGTCATTATTCTTGCAGGTGGAGGATAACAGTTCTTTCTTACTGAGTGGTTGAGACTTGGCATACAAAGTACTGATTTTCGTGTGAGAGATGAATCTGGTAAAACATTTACCAGGTGATGCTAGTTAGCATTCATATACACATTTCCTGGGCTACGCATATAAGGTCAAAATACAATCTGTACCTCATTATTTGGGGTCTTGAAAAGACTGCTAAAAGACTGCTTTTAGCAAGCAGCTGACTCTGAATGAATACACAAAGTAGCATAGCCAAAGGCTACAGTCACGGAAAGAAACATTACAGTCCTCATGTACTGTGACTATGAACCATATTAACATCACCTACAGATACCAAGACAACAACTCTGTGTGTTAGGTACTGTACAAAGTAAGACATCATTCCTGTCCTGACCAACCCATCTATCATTAGATAAAACTGAAAAGGAAAGAAAGTCATTCAATGCTGCTCACCTGATCATTCACAGAAAAGGAAAAACACATAAATCTCACCAGCCACACCAGCTCACTGGCTCCTCTTGCCCTTTATGCAGGTATGGATAAAAGCAAAGGGGGCCATCATCAACTAGCCCTAGTAATTTTTTTTCCCCAAAATTCCTGGGAAAGTAAATGAAAGAAAAGATAATCAATTTTCAACACAGGTTTTTTACCTGCTTCATCATTTTCTGGCAGGGGAATACATACACATAACATAAAAAATATCTAAGCAAATGAGTTGGAAAATGCTGTGACAAAATAGAAGAGAAACTTTAAGATGCTGCATAGTGGAAATAGAGTGCTAACAGATAGGTCACAGAAGCACACCAATAGCCCAGATAATGTCCACAAAACTTTTAATTCAGGAAGACACTTGGCCAAGACCCCCAAAAGCAGCTCTCTAAAATGTAACCCACAGGTAACCCATACTCAGGGATCTAACCAAACACCACTAGTCTCCCAGAATCACCAACAGCCCAGAACTTTCCCAGACCATGAGCATCTTTTCTTGTTGCAGATGCACACAGGAGTGGAGTGAGATTTCCTTCCATGATTTGTTCTCATCCCATCAACTTTGAGGGTTCACTGGCCAATAACTATAAGAAACTGGCAATTATTCTGAACTGCATAATCTTTTGTTATTCAGTTTCACCTTTGTCAGAATATTCCAAAGGCTCAGTTTCTGCAGTTAGGACCAGCTCCTCAAAAGGGTTCAAATGTGAGCTAGGCATGTAAACATGTAGAGTTCAGTATTTTTACTACAAGACTTTGAGAAATGTTTGGACACTCAGTTGTACACTACACACCTTTAGCTTTTCTGAAATTTTTTGTAACATCTTTTGCTAAAGATCCCCAAAAATTTACCCATCATTTTTTTCTGTATCTAATCAGACCTGAGATTTAATGAATTCATTTATTTTTAACTTGCCCTTATTTGAAAAGACTGTTCTAAAGTCCATTAAGAAAACTCCCCTGTTCTTCTACCAGCTAGGATACATAGTCACCATTCAACTTCTTTTTAGGTTTTAGTATAAATCAGAAGGGACTTAAGTTATACCCTATGCTCCCGCTATTTAATTTTGCTCCCCCTTCTGTCTGTATCAGGCGATCACCCTCACTAGATTTAAGGTATTACTGCCTGTAGCAGGAATTCTCTTGCTGCTTTGTGTTCGCATAGGAAACGTAGTGGGTTCCTGGCCCACACCAGAGGTCTCAAAGACCTACCATGAAATAAACTATGAACAGCAAAATATTTGGGGGGAAAGGCCACAAAGCACCATTCCTGTGAAACATCCTGGTGATGTTGAACATTTCTTCTCCTTGAAGGCGAATTCTCTGAATTACTGACTTCCCAGAAAATCCTGCTCTGGGTCAAGGTGCCACATGTGAAGTTCCCACCAAAAGGAGGGGAGAGAGAGCGGAAACAAAACTAAAGGGAACTCAGAACAGTCTTTGACTCTGGAAACCTGGCACAATCTTTATTGATCTCCAGTGTTGTCATGTGCACCCTTCTAATTTTGTCTTTTGAGTATAGACTGTCTATTTTCACCCATTATTGTTTGTTTATTCATGTTTTACCTCTTCATATGTCTTTTACTTGGCTGATACAACAAAAGCAAAAAAAATCAATAATATTTTTATTTGCTCTGAAACCTGTTTGCCTTTGCAGACCAAGACTGAGCACACACTTCACCTTTCCCTCAGAAGAAAGAGACGCTCTAGAACATTTGGGACGATGGTGAAGAGTGTGGCAAGGAAAGGCAAATGTTTACATGGCCATATCACAGGGCTGGGCTTCATTATTTTTGTGTTTCATTCAAAGGTGACTGGGAGGCTTTTTGGAGTCCTTCCTTCTAAGTTAGTCATAAATCAGCAAAGGTACTAGGTTTGTGTGATCTCTGAATGACAAAGGCTTTAATACAGCAAAATTAAAGCTTTGATGTATCTCTTCCCTTGCACGACCACTCAAAATACCGAGAAGTTGAGCCTGGATTATTTGGTTACTTACACAGAGAACTGAGTGTGGGATTTGTGCAATACATATCTGTGTACAGTAACAGTGAGTGTCAGAGCCCACATTAAATGGCCAAACAAAAGCCTCAAAAGGCAGCTGGAATCTTAGACTACTGAGATTGGTTTGTGCTCCAGAACAGCCCTTAATTTGCCAAAACAGACACTCAGTTTGAAATTCCCCATGCTGCTAATAGAGGAGATACTGACAAAAATCATACAGCTGCAAAAACTTCCTTATGCTCCTTCTCCTCAGATGTAAGTGTTGTGATTGCAGGTCCTCCCACTTTGTCCTATTAACCCTATTTGAAAGTGACAAAAGGGTGGTGAATCTGCAAGCCACTGATCATCTGATTTGCTTATCAAAGATGGAAAATGTTTTCCCTGACACTGTTTCTCCCTAGGCACACAAAACTAGTGAGTGGTCTAACATGGATTGCTCCTAATCTGATAAACCTTGAAAAAAAAAAAAAATGGCAGAATTCTAGTTTTGGTTATCAGGGCCAAAATAATAACAGCTATTTTTTCTGCCATCTATCCTCATTGTATTACATTTTTCACCCCAAATGAGCTCTTCTCAGCATCTCTAAGTCAAATCCTAAACAAGTCACCTAAGATACAGCCCAGACTGAAGAAGCCAAAGAGAGGAGAAAATGGTCATTAGAAGAAGAGATGGAAACAGTTTAAAAACAAAAGAACTAGCCATACTTCCTCCATGGAGGATTTCATGTGCCTTGAATAAACACAGTGCAAAAGAGCCCCTTTATGCTACTCTCTGGGCTGCCAAAGTAGCAGACTGCTACTCACAGAAGTTTCTGCTGTGAATTCAGGCATGACTCCAGTGTTTGAAAATACATGATATTGATAGCAACCAACTTGTATATGCAATCAGCTATGGTTCTCAACTTGAGCAATGAGATTTTACCTTTCTGACCAAAGTGACTATCTTTTCTCAGGATGTTTGCCTACATTGAGGGTAACTCCCTCAGACTCATAGGAGAGTTGCTATAAAGCTCAGTTAATGCTGCAGTATTGGTATGACGTTACTTGTGCTGCGCTAAAGACAGAGACTGACTCTACAAATGTCAGTGAGAATCTGTCAGTTCTGTTCATGACTGAGTATCCACTTGGCTGTGAGGTTAGTCCCCTGAATTTCTTTTAACTAGCCATAAACAAAGTTAGTTAAAGACAAATTGCTATGCAGACCACTGCCATGTCTAGCAATTTACTGAAGTCTCCTGCTTGAATCACAAGCATGCCAGAAGGCACTCAGAGATCTCTTATCTTCAAGCAACCACACTAATTCTTCCTTACAAGTCTCACATGACTACAAAAACTCTTGTTTCTGATGAGATTGTCTACAGCTTTCTGTAAACTTCCGTTCCAGATTAATCACTACATAATGAGACATAACATTGTTATTACTTTCTTCACCAAGTATACAAGGGTCTTTATATAGTGTTGCAGGGCTCCAGGCAGAAATCTTAGCTGCACCATTCACTCCAAGATCCTTCCAAATTCAAATGCTATTCATGTCTTCAGGAATTTTCTGTTCAATTTTACAATTGTGCCATTGTCTTACCTTTATCTGTGCTCCATGTAGTCTGTTATGTGCTGCTCAGGGCATCCTTTGACCTTTGCATCCCCTGGTGTCAAAAAGACTCTTAATTGGAATTCATCAAAATGATTCCTGAACACTCCCCAGAAGACAAGCCAAAGGCTTCCTTAGCAGAACCAGATTCTGCAGGTCACAAGAACACAAGAAAAAGATGACAATTGATTAGATTACAAATTCAAAGCTGATTAAAATTTTTCCCCAACAGTTTGTATTTTGACCAACTGAACTTGTAACCAAAGGAATCACCGTGATACCAGAAAAGACAGGACAGTTTTATAGGCAGAAAATAATCCAGGGTTATGAGCATTCAACAGGCACTCTAGAAAGCTATGAACATTTCTGGGATTCAGCCAACCTGCAGATTACTTGAGCTCACAACAAACTGCAGATGGTTCCTGTGTCTGCCCTCTGCACAGTTCCACTTTCCTCTTAAGAATCTGTTGAGACTACTGCTAGAGATGGTCAACCAGTCAAAACACAAGCCTGGCCCAGTCTTACAAATCCAATACTCCTACATCCACAGACTGAGCATTAAAAGTGAGGAAACTCAGCCTGCAACTCTAGCTTACATTTGTAATCATGGAGCCTGCTGCAGGAGCTGCATATTGAATAATTCCAAGTCATTTGTCTTGCCACCTTAGCTACCTACCTATTATATCCTGTTTAGTTCTAAATGCAACCTTCTTTGAGTTTATTTTGGTTCATTTTGTGTCCACTGTTTTATGCAGAGTTCAGTTTTGAATCATTGCCTCTTCAATCACAGGAGTTTTTTCATCTGTATTTCACAATACAGAAAGATTTGCATTGTTTCAGGTTTTACTGTCTCTTTTCAGGGATAATTTTTTTATATAAAAATGTTTGTGTTTCTGTCTCAAACCTTCAGTGTTATAAGTGAAAATATGCCCATTTATTCCTTTAATGTGTCCTATGTCATGTTCACCTCACTGGCTCAGGACAGCCTGATCATAACCATTTTTCTCAGAAGCTTGATTTGCCTTCTGTATCCACCACTGTCAATCAGACCTCTGAAGTCAAAAGAGTTACATTCGTGTAAACAGTGCGTAAGCGAAACTGGAATCAGGCATTGACTTTTAAGATAGCTGTTTTCAAGTTCATTGCCACAGCTACCCCAGAGGAGACTCCTACTGCACTGTGATCATCTTGTCTGGTCTCTGATATGAGATACCATAGGGCTGCTTTGAATTAATTCTTGCTGCGGGTCCAATAGCTGGAGCTGAGCTAAGGGAATCTGTTTCTGAGGAGCATTTGCTACCAAGTATAAAGGTTCAAGTGCTGGAAAGTACATTGAACCCTAACTATAGTATTTTGACAGCTGATTACCTACACTGTTGGAAATACGCACATTATTTCTGGTTGAATTTAGCTGGTATCAACTTGTAGCTGCTAGAGCTTCTCAGATATTTGTACTTATCTTGCAGAGCCCTTGCTACTAAACTGTATTTTCTTCGTTTTGGTTCATATTTATAAACTGTAATACTACAAATCTTATTTTTAATAAGGAAAAAACCCCTATTTATAAATAACCTGAGTTTACGTTTTATATCTCTATGTGAAGTCCCTCTTAATAAAAAGACACTCAATTCCTATACAAGCACTTTCTCATTATCAATCAACAATGTTTCTGTTCTCTGGGACTGTAACCCACCAGGTTTGCCCAGTTCAGACTGGTCCTTTCCAAGCCCCACATAACATCTCACAAGTTTTCTGATTAAGCTCTGTTTGCATGACTTCTGTGCAGACAAATCACTTCTCAGTTATTATTGCCACCATTGCCAATTTGTGTATGTCAGTTCCTCCAGTATTTTTATTTGTCTTACACTACAACAGAGAGTGGGTCCCCACCCCAAACAGTGTAAACTTACACTTCAGAATCCCACATAAAAAATTGCTACACTCATGTGTTTTCTTCTTCAACTCACTATCTCAAGACACAATTGCTATTTTGGATATGGTCATCTCTAATGATGAGTATTTCCAGGTTTGATATGCTTCACTACAGATGAATCTCAGCTGTATTTACCTGAGTAATTAAATACAATGGAAACCTGTTACAAAGGCCTTTAGAAGGAGCTGTCTGCACCATTTCCTTGAAGTGATCATACCAAGAGAAGGAAAATAAGAGTGCTTGAAAATAAATCTTCCCTCTACCCAGCATGCCTTTGCAAGGCTGTTCCTTCCTGTACACTTGCTCTTACTGTAGTAACTTTAACTGGCTTTCTAACTGGCAGAAAACTTGGGGGCCCTACAAAAAGACTCTTAAATCCTCCGCAGCTTTACTGTGACAGCTGCTGGCTTCCTACATCTCCCCACCCTACCTGCTCCATTTTAGCACTCTAGAAGATCTGATGCTCATATGTTCACAAGCAGGATGGAGGCTAGAGGCTTAACTGAACCAAGGGTAAAAACAAGCATGTATACAACCATAAACAAGCAGTCTGTCTCCTTGATGCTCAGTTGAACCTTTTTTGAGATGAAAATTATATTTGCATTTGCATTATATCTGACTGAACAAAATAATCACCCCTAGTTTTGGGCTTCCCACTCAAATTCAGTTTCATTTCCAGGCTGTTTATTATATGGGCACTCTTTCTGTAGGCTGGACTGATTAAACCTTTGGTCCCAATGCAGAGATGATGACTGAATGCTGGTAAACTGAGCCACAGTGCTCTGAGAAACAAAGGCAGGTCCCATTAGCCTGTAGCTCAAGGCTCTGGATGGCCATTTCAGAAATGCTGAGCTCTGACTTAATGCTGCTCTCAGTGAGATGAGCAGGAAAGCCACTGGTGACTCTTCCACTGACCTCAGCACTGAATATTTTGGAACATCCCACTCGCAGTGTAGGGAAGTCTGGGGGAGGAGACATACATGAAGATGACACTAATGAAGCCTGTCCTCTCCACATGCATGCAACCAACACTTCACAGACCAACCTCCCTCTGATTAAGTCTTTAGTACATCTCTTTAGGACACTCAAAGATTCCTAGAAAAGACATTGTTTAAAAAAATCTATTTAATATTTATTAAAATACTTTTGTTTCATTCAAATTGAATTTCTTTCTGTCTTTGGTTGGTGTTAACATCCATGCTGTAGCACATGTGTGTGCACACATACCCACGCTTACACGTTCAGAAGTTGTGAAGTCAGAAGGACTAAAATGATCATCTACATTGCTCTGAGTAGAAACTGAATCAATATGCTGCAGGCATGACATTTTAATGACAATGTAATTAGGATGTAATTTTAATCATATTGGGAAGTCCCTCCTTGTCCCAATCTTGGACGATGTGAAATGATGTAACCTGGGATTGTCAGTGGCATATATGGGACCAGGCACCCCTTTCTGATCCATACTGAAGGGAAACGGGGAATCCAGACTATGGAATTTGCTTTGCAAGATGTGATTCCTCCTTGGATGGCCTAAGCTAGAAGACAGAACAGATACCAATGCATCATGAGAGGCATTTGCACTCATGCCTACTGAAACAGTATTTGGGCACATATCAGCATTTTGAGGATTAACCAGATGTGTCCCTAGCTTCCCACTCACTTTGGTATGAGGGAGAAATAGAGATGTAGGCATTACAGGTGGAGGCTCCTGGCTGAGCCCCAGAGACACCATATAACAACGATGAGCTTTTACTGTTGGGGTTTTTTCTTTCTTTTTTTTTTTTCCTCCCAAGCCATGGTGCAAATTGCGGAAAAGCAGCATCGTGACTCCTGTCATGAGACGAGTGGCACTCCCTTCCTCTTCCCTTCCTCTCCCAATCGTTCTTGTGCATTATCCATTGCACTGAGCTGTAATGGAGGGTGCCAGAGAGGAACAAATTTTTTCCTCTCTCTTTCTTTTTAATTTTTTAAACAATCTCCTCTTCCACCTCCCCTTTCTTCTACTCCTCCTCTTCTTCATCCTCCCATCCACCCCCATCCTGTCCATCTCCCTCATCCCACTCACACACCACTCCCCCCCTTTACCGGTATCCAACACTGTCAACCCAAACACATGATAAATTGCCCTGTCAACAGAATTCATTCAGGGACCAATTAATTCCACAGAAATGAACCAGGAGCCATCAGTTGCTGAAAAACTCCAAGTGCAGGGAGCGAGGAAGCTAGCTTTGTGTGTGTGTGAGAGAGAGAGAGAGAGAAGCTTGGGAAGTTAGTCTGACAGAAATTGGTCATTTAATGCTTAAGTGCACCGTAGACAGCCCTGTCATAGCAGCCGGCATGGCAAAAACTCCCCCAGTGCTTTATTTATTAATTATGTGGAGCAGCACGGGGGTCACTTCACTGTCTCAATACAGACTCATCAACTTTACTTCTTGTCACTGGAAGAGATCCCACAGCATGTGGGATAGAGGGCCAGGCCTTTTCCTGGCTCTGTCTCCTGCCATCCTGTACAATACAGGCTAGACACAAGTTTGCAACCTGTGCCCTCAGTGAGAGTGGGCAGCGGCAGGCAGGGACACAAGAACAGTCAGAAGTGGGAGGTAAACCATTATCCTGCTGCTGCCCAACTCTGGAGCAGAGGTGGTGGGAGCCTGGAGATTTCATTTGCAAAGCTTCCTCATTATCCTCCTTCAAATTCTCCTTAGCCATGATGCCTGCAAAAATCTGACAGCAGTTAGGCTGCTGATGTATTATGAGTACTGCCTATCCTGCTGATCAATAGCATCTCATTGCTCCTTTCTGTATTCCCTCAGCTGTCCATACTAGTCGTTGCTTCTTGACTCATATTTGTAAGGTCTCTGAGGGCAAGACCATCTTTCTCTCACATACAGGTACAGCACCAGGCACCATCAGATTCTGATCTCTGAGAAGTGTCCCTCCTCAAATGGTAGTAGCAGAAATAATAACAATTCTATACTTTTACAGAATCACAGAAAATATGGCTGAAGTTTACCTTAGGAGATTGTCAAGACCATGCCTCTGCCAAGGCAGGATCAACCACTGTTAAAGTACTAAACCTTTTTGTTTGGCCTGTTTTTAAGAACAACAGCGAAGGTCACACAACCTCCCTACGCAGTCCACCCCAGTGCTCCACTACCCCATTCCACTCTTCACCCTGCTATGGCTTTAGGATTTGAAAACATTCAATTCTGTC